CAGTTTGTTTTTTTTTTTGTTTTGTTTTTGTTTTTTGACAGGCAGAGTGGACAGTGAGAGAGAGAGACAGAGAGAAAGGTCTTCCTTTTGCCGTTGGTTCACCCTCCAATGGCCGCCGCAGCCGGCGCGCTGCGGCCAGCGCACCGCGCTGATCCAATGGCAGGAGCCAGGAGCCAGGTGCTTTTTTCCTGGTCTCCCATGGGGTGCAGGGCCCAAGCACTTGGACCATCCTCCACTGCACTCCTGGGCCACAGCAGAGAGCTGGCCTGGAAGAGGGGCAACCGGGACAGAATCCGGCGCCCCAACCAGGACTAGAACCCGGTGTGCCGGCGCCGCTAGGCGGAGGATTAGCCTAGTGAGCCGCGGCGCCGGCTGTAATCAGTTTTTTAAAAGCAAAGGTTGGTAGAATAAACCTAAACTCTACATTCTCATTAGCAAAAGGCTATGGTGGATGCTTATTATAAATATGACTCTCTTATCTGTTTTTCAAAATGTAGTTAGAATATTTTAGAGTAAATTTTGCCTGTCTTGGCCTTTATGTGATAAATTCACTAGACACATCTACATTACTCGTTATAACTTGTGGCTAAATGAAACACATCCCCCTAAGTTACTTCTAGTCCCTTAGAGGTAATTTACTCAGGTTCCATTATCTGACAGGAAAGTCAAAGTTTATGAGAGAAAACACCAACAGTGTAAATCCAGTAGTTTGGAGGTGAATTAAAAAGCTCCCAAATCAGTATTTCCTGCAAATGTTAAATAATTCACTGTGGCATTATAAATACAAGCCTCTGGCAAGTTACACTTGAACAATTAAGGAAGCAGGAGTCATACAAATGACTTTAGTGGTACACAAACAAATTAATGTTTTCTCAAAGTACTATGCCAAATTACTTTAGCACATTAACAAGTGTGTAAAACACCCAAACACACCAATGACTAACTAGATCAAGTTTGATTATAGGAACCAGCTTGGAACTCCATGCCAGGATCATTCCTACATGTAACTGTGGCTTCTTTATATCTGAACACAAAACTCACTTATGTTATTTCAAAAGTTTACATGTTCAAAATGTACATTTTGCCCTTTTACAACGTTCTTTAACTGAAATTGTTCAGATTACAATGGCCATCTACCTAATATATTACGTGAAGGATTAGAAGCAATGTGATTATTTAGGAGAGTCTAGGTTAGAAATCAGAAACACAAGATAATATCATGGGGTACCACGTACATATAGAACATAGCGCCTGCATAGGCGAAAAGGCACACAATTCAGAATATAAATGAAATTTCAATCCCAACTGTTGTTTGCTATTTAGAAGATTTTTAGACAAGCCTTAGCCTCAATATTGGCTTTCTCTTCTGTAAAAGAAGCAGTGTGATGGTTCATGCATGCAACAAACATTTATAGAACACTTACTAATGTGTCAAGTAGTGTTTTCCAGGGGTTATTTTAGGATTAGTGTTAATAAAACACTGCTGGTATTCATTAAAATATGTGTCATTACTCACATGTATAAGGAGACACTTGACTAGTAAGATCATAATCAGCAAATTGGACATCAATAGTATTTTGAATAGGAAACAGATACATGGAATAGAAGGTGGCACGAGGTCAATCCGCTTTTCAGGATCCATGGAGCCTTTAGCTTTTACTCTAGATCTTTGTGTTTTTTCTCTAGCTATCTCTGTTGAAGCTAGCCAAGTGTTTTCTGCAAAATTAAGGTATTTTGAGCTCTAATTCAAATAGCAAGTTTGAGAGAAGAATGTATATACTCAAGGATACTTCAAAAAAGTTGATGGAGGGGCCAGCACTGTGGTGCAGCGGGTTAACGCCCTGGCCTGAAGCACAGGCATCCCATATGGATGCTGGTTTGGGACCCGGCTGCTCTACTTCTGATCCAGCTCTCTGCTGTGGCCTGGGAAAGCAGTGGAAGATGGCCCAAGTCCCTGGGCCCCTACACCTGCAAAGGAGAACCGGAAGAAATTCCTGGCTCCTGGAATTGGACTGGTGCAGCTCCAGCCATTGTGGCCAATTGGGGAGTGAACCAGCGGAAGGAAGATCTCTCTCTCTCTCTCTCTCTGCTTACCCTCTCTCTGTATAACTCTGACTTTCAAATAAATAAATAAATAAATAAATCTTTTTAAAAAGTTGATGGAAAATGAGATTTTAAAATGCGTTTATTTTGGTGGTAAAAACCCCCTTGAAATCCATACACAGTTTTCATAATACACATTTTTCACTTACTTTCTGAAGTACCCTCATGTTAAATATTTGCCAAGTTGCTTTCCATTTAGAAGTTTTGTAAGCCTTGTAAGAAAAAGGGCTTTTTGGAATATTAATTTATTGGCTAGTCTAATCTAAAAGTGAAATAAATTCTTTGAAACAGACTAGAAAGATGAAATGAAAAAAAAATGAGATGTAGAGGGAAACAGCACTATTGTTAAAGTCTCTCAGCTTTTCCCACTTGCCAGCTATGTCATCTGAAAAAGTTTCAAGATTTCTTTTTTTAAAAAAATATTTATTTATGTTTTTATTTGAAAGGCAGAGATACAGAAAGAGAGAAGAGAAACAGAGAAAAAAATCTTCCATCCGCTGGTTCATTCTCCAAATGGCTGCAATGGCCAGGGCTCGGCCAGGCCAAAGCCAGATGCCAGGAGCTTCTTCAGGGTCTCCTATATAGGTACAGGGACCCAAGCACTTGGGCCATCTGCTCATGATTTCTGAGGTATGTTAGCAGGGAGCTGAGTTGGAAGTGGAGCAGCCAGGACTTGAAGCAGTGCCCATATGGGATGCTAGCCCTGCAGGTGGCAGCTTAAACTTCCTTGTCACAGCGCCGGCCTCTCAAGATTTCTGAATCTGTTTTCTCAAGAGAAAAATAAATGTCACAGCTCTTATCCACAAAGAGGATCAAACAGGATAACTGGGATATAAAAATGATCAGTAACCTAAAAGCACTCAACAAATATATACTATTTTGGAGTGAGTTGGAACTAAAATGATCCCAAGATATCCCTTGGAGTGATGAAACTTGTATGGATAATTGGTAGACAGCCTACACAAATATGGTGACTGGAGGAGTGACCACGGGGACTTGGCTTGCTTGTTAACGACTTCAGACTGGACTTCAGATCCAGCAAGCAACAGTCATTTCTAAATAGTATAGAAGAAGAAAAAAAAAAAAACACTTATGGGCAAGACTGCGAGGAATTAAAAAAACTCTGGAAGACATAGATTGATTTTTTAAAGTAAATCAACAAGGTCAATGAGCCACAAGTCAAAGTTTCTAGGGACTGGCATTGTGGCACAGAGGGTGAGCCTCCACCTGCAATACTGTCATCCCATTTTGGCGTGCCAGTGAGACTCAGCTGCTCTACTTCCAATCCAGCACTCCGTCAGTGTGCCTTGGAAAGCAGCAGAAGATGGCCCAGCTTCTTGGGACCCTGTCACTCATATGAGAACCTAAACAGAGCTCCCAGCTCCTGGCTTCAATCTGGCCCAGCACTGGCCATTGCAACTATTTGGGCAGTGAACCAGCAGATGGAAGATCTCTTTCTCTCTGTCTCTCCTTTTCTCTCTGTCACTCTGCCTTTCAAACAAATAAATATTTTAAAAAATATTTTCTGGAAGTGCTTCTTTTTGTGAATAAAACTGCCTTGTCATCAATGTTTTTAGAGTGGTTATAATTTCACATATCAAAGTCTACCTGCGAATTGTTACTTTTACATTGGTTTTTAACACAGTGCCAAGCTCACTTGCTAGGATTAAATAAAATTATTGCTTATACAGAGTTTCTAAAAATACATGTGATTTTAAAAAAATCCAAAATTTAAGTTCATTTTATATGCAGAAAATGAGTAATATATACTCACAAATTTGCTTTTTAATCTAAATGTGTAAAATATAAAAATTTCAGCGGGCGCCACGGCTCACTAGGCTAATCCCCCGCCTGTGGCGCTGACACACCAGGTTCTAGTCCCGGTCGGGGCGCCAGATTCTATCCCAGTTGCCCCTCTTCCAGGCCAGCTCTCTGCTATGGCCCGGGAGTGCAGTGGAGGATGGCCCAAGTGCTTGGGCCCTGCACCCCATGGGAGACCAGGAGAAGCACCTGGCTCCTGCCTTCGGATCAGTGTGGTGCGCCGGCCACAGCGCACTGGCCACGGCGGCCATTGGAGGGTGAACCAACGACAAAAAGGAAGACCTTTCTCTCTGTCTCTCTCTCTCACTGTCCACTCTGCCTGTAAAAAAAATAATAATAATAAATAACTAAATAACTAAATAAATAAAAATAAAAATTTCTGTTCCAAGTAAGCAGTAAGAAGTCTCTACAGAGAGAAAATACCATAATGGGGGGGGGCATAAACAGAAAACTGTCAGTGCTCAAGGTAGAAATGTGGGGTCACTTACCAGAGTCAAGCATACAGCTTGTCAAGAATGCTGGACTTATAGGAAGAGTAAACTCCAATATTCTACTCTTAAAATGCATTTTAATTTATCTTTGTATAGGAGAACAACAAAAAAACAAAGTAGCGATTTCTTTTTATTTATTTATTTATTTATTTATTTTTGACAGGCAGAGTGGACAGTGAGAGAGAGAGAGACAGAGAGAAAGGTCTTCCTTTGCCGTTGGTTCACCCTCCAATGGCCACCGCGGCCGGCGCGCTGCGGCCGGCGCGCTGCGGCCGGCGCACCGCGCTGATCCGAAGCCAGGAGCCAGGTGCTTCTCCTGGTCTCCCATGGGGTGCAGGGCCCAAGCACTTGGGCCATCCTCCACTGCACTCCCTGGCCACAGCAGAGAGCTGGCCTGGAAGAGGGGCAACCGGGACAGAATCCGGCGCCCTGACCGGGACTAGAACCCAGTGTGCCGGTGCTGCAAGGCAGAGGATTAGCCTAGTGAGCCTCCGTGCCGGCTTAGTAGCGATTTCTACCATCTGCTGTCCAGTGAAAGAAAAAAACGACCTAGAGAGCAATGCGAAAAGGCTAATTTCTTCTTACCATGAGTAGATCCCACTGACCATGTCATAGTTCTGACATGAGACATCCACACTGCTGGGCCCAGCTGCTTTGGAAATAAGCAGCACCACCAGTCCCCTCAACTGCAGGTTGTGCCGGCTGTCATGGACAAGGCCCCTGCCAGCAAGAAAAGAAAGAAAAGGATTAACAGACCCTCCTAGAATCAGTCAGCTCATGTTCGAAAATGGATACGAATATGCCCAAACTTCTAAAACCAGACAATGAGAAGGAACAGGGCTGGGGGAAGAAAGAGTTATTAACACATGGAAGCAACGAGTTCAGGAAAACAGCTGGAGAAACTCATGGCTGGTTTTCATGGTGACAGACTCCAATTATGAGGCTTGATGATCTGGCTCCCTTCTCTCCCAGGTTCTATCCACTATTTATGTCCTACCTGTGCATCCTAATCATTTGCTCTGAAAATAAGAGGAGCCCATGGCTTTGGTGGCAGTTGATAGAAGCTGAAATATCAATTACATGGCTTGGATGAAGTGATGGTATTTGGTGGTGATGGTAGTAAGGAGGAGTTGTAGAAAAATAATTTGTCTTCAGAGGCAGAGAAGCAGAAAGAGATTAAATCAAATCCAAAATGGCTTAAAAATTTATTTGATAAGTAAATGGAAATGAATGCCATCAGCAGAAATCTTGCCATTTCCTATTACTCATGGAAAGCATTATCATTCTAGGCAACAAAAAGGCTTTAACTCAGAATGTCATATTTCTTTCATTATGAGGATTGAACTTTCATAATTTCTGCTATAACTGAGGCTAAGAATAATTCCCAGGAATGGATTTTCTTTTTAAAGTATTACAAATGGTTGCCATATTAGAAATAAATGGCACCATTTTTAAAAAGAAAGAAAACTATGAGTAATATATTACAATGAATTAATATTCAGAACAAAGCTCACAAGTACTAATCAAGTATTTAGATAATTAGAGCAAACATAAATAATATTGAAATATAGTTCTTGAATGTGGTGAGGAAACATTAGAAATTAGTATTACAATACTTTATTGCATTAAGACTTCATTGGTGAGTTCTGAAAAAAGAATCAATTTAAGTTAATTAAGTTCGCATAGCCAAAAATAATGATTTAGTACATTATGTAAGAAAAATGTTAACCCTTCAAACCTCTAAACAGAAATTTTTAAAAGGGCCCCCTCAGAGTTTCAAAATAAGACAAATCATCAGGTTCTCTGCCAAGTAACAGCCATAGTAATTTCTCTGTTCATCGGTATTTTCTTCTTAACCATAAGTGATCTTCAGAAAGTTAGTGAGCTTAGCGATTTTAAAAAACAGTCTAACTTCCTAGGAAAATGAAGTCAAAGTGATTAGGTTACACCACAAGAGAAGCAAATACAACCATCAGAAGTGTTTCAAACTGATTATTATTATTATTTTTTTTTGACAAGTAGAGTTATAGACAGTGAAAGAGAGACAGAGAGAAAGGTCTTCCTTCTGTTGGTTCAGTCCCCAAATGGCTGCTATGGTTGGTGCTGCACCGATCTGAAGCCAGGAGCCAGGTGCTTATTCCTGATCTCCCATGCGGGTGCAGAGGCCCAAGTACTTGGGTCATCCTCCACTGCACTCCGGGGCTACAGCAGAGAGCTGGACTGGAAGAGGAGCAACGGGGACTAGAACCCAGCACCCACATGGGATGCCGGCACTGCGGACAGAGGATTAACCAAGTGAGCTATGGCGCTGGCCCTCAAACTGATTATTATCATGTAACAATCTGCTTACATCCTAAAGGCCAAACTGCAGCAGGGAGGTTGGGAAGCACTCTACTTTTCAACAAGAAAACATAAAATGGGAGCATTTTCTCTCAATATTTTTGCTTCAAACTTAGGCTACTAGATCTCCACTTATGAATCACCTATAGTGAATCTTGATTTTTCCTTTTTTTTTTTTTTTGAACAATATTAAAGAGAAAGTCTGAATCGACTTTAAATTCTAGAAAGGGAAAAGAGGAAGGCAAGGGGTGTGTGTGTGTGTGTGTGTGTGTGTGTGTTGGGCCTGGTCAGCTCTGCAGGATATGATGTCAGCAGGAATTCTGACAGGTGACCCCAGAGACAAGTCTGACTGAGATGCACTGATGAAAACAGCTCTGGCAACAGATCTTACAACATCTACCCCAAGCTTTTCTGGGACAGGACCTTTCACAGGGGACACACACTCAGCTAATAGTAATAGCAGCAGCAAACACTTACCCAGTATATTATATATTGCTTTCTGAAAGGCCGGAACTATTCTACATGTTTTACTACATATCAACAAAATTAATTCACAACTCTTAACAGGAATGTACCATAAGTACCTTAATTTTACAGATGGGGAGAACAAGGCACATAGAAAGATCAAACTCATCCCAGGTACCATAGCTGGTAGGTAGCAGACCCTTGGCAGAGGCAAGATTTGAACTCAGGTCACCAGGTTCCAGAGACCACATACACTCTTCTATCTTTTTAAAAAAAAAAAAAAAGATTTATTTATTCATTTGAAAGGCAGAGTTACAGAGAGGCAGAGAGGCAGAGAGAGAGAGAGAGAGAGAGAGAGAGAGAGAGAAACCTTCCACCCACTGGTTCACTCCCCAGATAGACGTAATGTCAGGAACTGTGCTGATATAAAGCCAGGAGCCAGGAGCTTCTTCCATGTCTCCCATGCAGGTGCAGGGACCCAAAAACTTGGGCCACTTTCCACTGCTTTCCCAGGCCATAGCAGAGAGCTGGACTGGAAGTGCAGCCGGGACTTGAACCAGCACTCATATGGGATGCCGGCACTGCAGACGGTGGCTTTACCCGCTATGCCACAGCACTGGCTCCCACATACACTCCTGACCACTATGCCATGGCGATTCTCTGTTTGCTTCATTTCATGTATAAACCAATTTGCTAAGTCAAATTAGATAGCAGCCTTTAGACCCAGACAGGCCGAGGTCTGAAAGACACTTCCAGAAGTCACTTACTGGCTCTTTCCTATAAACCGAGCATAAGAAGATCTACCTGCCACAGTCATTGTACGGAAGAAAGAACATGAATAAAGTATATAACACTGCGGAAAGCACAGGGGATGTGATCAGTAAGTTACATTCCCTCTCTCTCCCTCTCCCTCTCTCTCTCTTCCTTTTGTGCAATCTATTTTTTTTCCTCAACCACTACATTTTCTTTCTTAAGGGTAGGCCAAAAGCTGCCCCTACATTTCTTCCTTCTACTCCCTGTCTTCTTTTCTCTCTCAAAAATGTCTTTCCCTCTCTACCAGCATTTAAATAATCATAAATATTGTTTACTTCTCTACCTCCCCAAATAACAAAAGTTAAGGATTTCTTCTTACTCTCCTAATCATCACTATCTTCTAAACACTTGTCCCTTTCAGGATGCATTAATGAAAATACCAGGAGAAGGAAGTATAATAGATGGGTTAACAAAAATCAAGCGAGCATTCAGAAAAGTACACCTTCTGACCATGAATTCTCACATAAGACAGCTGGTAGCAACCTGGAGGACAGATTAACAGCTTGACTAAATTAAATAACTGTTTCCAAAACACCATTGCTTTAAATTCACTTCATTAACACCTTTAAAAAAGCAGTACTGATATAAACTGACAACGCCCACAGCTCAAAAATTAGCTCACAACCACAGAGAGAGAGGAAGAGAGGGAGAGAGGGAGAGAGGGAGAGGGGGAGAGGGGGAGAGGGGGAGAGGGGGAGAGGGGAAGAGGGGAAGAGGGGGAGAGGGGGAGAGGGGGAGAGGGGGAGAGAGGGAGAGGGTGAGAGAGGGAGAGGGAGAGAACATAAAACAATCCCTAGGATTCTAATCTCACAGGGATAATATGCTTCATATAGCTGAGGTCACACTTTACCTCGAACACAGTTTTGTTCCCCGTTCCTCCCTTAAGGAAGCCAGGGGCCTATCTGGAAGATGGTGAAATCACACACCACAATACACACAGAAGCTGGCCTGGAGAGTGGGAAAGCTGGTGCCTTCATATTCATTCCCCCCAAACAGTGAACGCTCGCTACACGTCAGGCGTGATGCTAGACAGACAGTGGAAGCACCAGCAGAACTAATGAAATGGGCTCTCCTTTCTCGTGGAGAACAGTCTGGATTAAACATCACAATAAAATGTGGTAGGAGTTGCTTGAGGGACAAATTACAGTTGTGGGGACACAAAAAAGGGGCATAACAAGGGGGTCAAAGAGACTTCCAGGAGATCCACACGATGAGGAAGAAACAACCAGGGGACCTGGGGTGGGAGCATGTGTGGGGAAAAATATATTCTAAAGAGAGAAACAGTATGGAAAGGTGGGAGAACACAGTTATTTCCAGAGCCAACAGGGCAAGAACCCAGTCCACGAAGGGAGAAATAAACCCAGAGGAGCACACATGAGTTGGAAGGGTTCCATGAAGATAGACAGGCCTTGTAAATATAACTGCAGATGTTGACAGAGTGGACAGAAATGACAGCAGGCCAATCTTGACTTGAGAGGAAGAAGAAATGCTGAGTCCCTTAGAAACTACACAGGGGCCAGTACTATGACAGTGGGCTTAGCCTCCGCCTGTGGTGCAGTTATCCCATATGGGTGCTGGTTGGAGTCCTGGTTGCTCCACTTCTGATCCAGTTTCCTACTGATGGCCTGAGAAAGCAATGGAAGATGGCTCAAGTGCTTAGGCCCCTGCACCCACTTGGGGGACCTAGAAGAAGCTCCCGTCTCCTGGCTTTGGATCAGCCCAGTTTCAACCACTGTAGCCATTTGGGGAGTGAACCAGCAGATGGAAGATCTCTCTCCCTCTCTCTGTAACTCTGCCTTTTAAATAAATAAATAAATCCTAAAAAGAAAGAAAGAAAGAAAGAAAAGAAAAGAAAAGAAAAGAAAAGAAAAGAAAAGAAAAGAAAAGAAAAGAAAAGAAACGAAACGAAACTGCACAGCCTCTGACCCAACACAATTACGAGAAGCCTGCACTGATACCTAAAGTTTTTTCCTACTATGTGATTCTATATGATCTCACTTTGCCAGTGTCATAAATGAAAGCAATATTTAGGGGCTGGTGCTGTGGCATAGTGGGTAAAGCTGCTGATTGCAGTCCTGGCATCCCATATGGGTGCTAGTTCC